GATATAATATCTTTGAATTTCCTTCCTCACCACTACTTTACTGTGTCCTCTAAGGCAAGCCATGTGAAGTGGTGTACTACCATGATAGTCCATAGTATTCACTACAGCACCCTTATGTATCAGGGAATATGTCAGGTTAGTATGGCCTGAAACACAGAACAAATAAATACCGGTAAATAACAAAGAATTAATGGTTGTTTTAAATCACTATTATAATTACACCCTAACAGTTGAAACTGATTGTAATCACATATGGAAAGGAAAATAAAAAACCTTCTTTGACAACTAAAGACAATGAATCATTCACAGGTATCTAAAATTATAACATTGCTCTTTCAAAGTCAGATGGCTACCTTTCAAGATGGTGCAGGGAGCTGTTTGTAGACTATTAGACAGTTAATCAATTCTGAGTTATTAAGTAAAATGCTATATTTTCTGGAGTTTTATGTTGATTTTTATCTGTTATGATTAGAAAACCTACCATATTCAGCAGCAACATGTAGGACTGTTCTTCCCATGTCATCTCTGGAGAAGACTGTTACAGCAGATGGATCATTTCTTCGCCTATAAAAACAATTTTTCTTAACCCTTTCATCAAATTGTTTTTATCATTTTTTATTTCTTTTCTTTTTTTGTCTTTACTTTTATTTACATTTTTTATAAGTGATCAATATGATATGATAATTTATAATATGTTTATTTCATTTCTATTGCATTGTAAAGGGAGAAAAACACTGAATTACAGTAAGAGCGCAAGGAAGGCAGGGATAAAGGGGCCATGACTGAGTGGTGAAATGGTCAATAAACAGTGATTTACAAACTAGAAACTAATCAAAATACACAGAAATAGCACATAGTACATTTATTATCAGTACTTATGAGAAAAATACTCACTTGGACAACAACTTTTCACACTTATCGCAAGAACATAATGGATGACACATCTTGTCAAGCCTGAGGTTTTCTTTTTCTTCATTTCCAAGCAGTTTTTCAACCTCTTGTTCTTTACCTTGAGCTGTGTACTGTAGAACATTATTTAAAAGAAGTGATATATCTTAATGTACATGTATAATAGAGCTCGAGAAAAAGAAGGCTACAGAAAAGTTTCAAACAGGGTTCCCAGTGCCATCTTGAAAGGAAGCCATGCCTTTGAATCAAAGCAAGATGCAATGATAGAAACCTTCTTTCACACCTACAGACAATTATTCACAGGTACAGTATCTATCATTGCACGCTCAATGGTTGTCTCGCTTCGATGTAAAGGCATGGGTACGTTTCAAGACAATACAGGGAACGGAGAAGGAGACTGCTAAACCTATCAACATTATATTATACATGTATTATCAGTGTACAATATGCAATTACCTCAAACAGCATGTCAAGAGCAGTGGGTTTATTGCTATCGAAGTCAACTGGTTGCCAGAAGGAATATGATCCACCATTACCATTTTGCAACCTCTGAACAAGACACAATGAAAACGTTTGATCAATGTCCTTCAGGAAGCCATTTTCAAAGAACAGACACTATAAACCATTTGCAGTTAAATTGATACTGTCTGCCTTTCCAACCTTTACGCAAACCCTGTCAATCTTATTTCAAGTAGTCAAAATTATGAAATCACAGGGTTTGAAATCTAGAGTGAGGATGGCCTGGGCAGTAAACCTGTTGGTATTTGCTTAGTACTGAATTCCCTTTTGAGCATCAATGTTTGCTTCAACATTTATTGAATAATGATTCATAACAACCATAAATATTATCCCAAATCATAATACCTTGAATGGTATTCCTCCTTTAAATGTATTGGTAAGGCAGCCACTCCGCACATGTTCCACAGCAGCTTCCAGTGATGAAAGATAAAATCTACAGATTGAAATAAGATTGCAAGGAAGAATGTAAGGTTTTGTTGTACTGCTGTGATTTATCATGGGATTTTTCATGTAAAAGATAAATCACCTAATATATGTATTAGCACAAAATTGTGACTAGTATTTAGAATTTTGAGCACTTAGTAATAAGATAGAATAATAAGCTATAGATGGAAACTAGAGGTAAACTARTTTGAGCTGTGTCAGTGTTTCTAAAAAAACAGTTGTGAAAAAAATTAGGTTCAACTTACTGACATTTTTGGACGTCAATCCTTTGTCCAAAATATAAGCAAGTTATTTCACCTACTTTTTATGGAGTTAAAATTTATTTTATTTCACAACTATTGAGTTATTGTTAAATACATATGTATTTTGCTGAGAAAAATCAGAAAATATTTTAGATTTGATCTAAGATAAGAGACTTACTGGAACTCRTTGTATCCACACTTTGAGAAGTGAAAGTTGTGGAGAAAAGTTATATTAGCCAACCTTGAAAAAAAAMAACAAGATGTACATAAATTACACAAATTTGAAACTAACATCAAAACATCAGATAAAAAGGTGTTTGTCAAGGCCAAAAAAAAACGTGTCTTACCAGTTTGGAATGTCAGATTTAATAACTAGGAACACTAGAGCTGGAAGCAGATCATCTGCAGTAATTGCATCAACAACTCCTACAACAATAATTGAAGTATTCAGTAAATAAATAAATGAATTTACTCAAGAAAGATTAGCCTATACTTCAAACAAAATTAAAATAGACAAGCATACACCATTTGGTAGACTATGGTTTCTTTTATCAACTCCTCCCCCAAGTGTGGGAAAACTAGGRAGGGTATTTTTTTTCTAAGAGAAAAACCAGATGGATTACCCTCTGTAAGAGGATGGCCAAAGAAAAATATACAACTAACCAGCTTCTTTGTCTTTCATTTTCCTCTCTGTGATTAATGTGATGGACTTTTTAAGACAATGAAACTTCTCTAATGGTGATGTAAACTAAAAATGATAATAAACAATAAGATAATAAACAATTTTGATCACTTTTGTCTGTTGTCTCTTTCTCAACATTCATATTAATATTGATTTTGCTAAACTGTGCTTGTATAACTGA